TAAGCTATCCACTTCTAGATTCTATCAACTTATGCAATAACATGACCTCCTTTCTTATTTTTTTTTTTAACCAGTTTTGTCTTTTTTTTAAGCGTACGTATCATGTCACATGGGCGGATGCGATGTTCGGTACTTCCTGATGAAAGTGGAAGTAAAGTTATGAATAAAAAACTCGACAGAATCGTTTAATTACACAAGAACAAATCGTCGGTCGAAAATTCATTCGCAAACCTAAAGTTAGATACTTCTCATGGTGATATTTATTGAATAAGCTATGCATTATGTCGTTCAAGAGGATAAAACGAGTTGTAGGCAGTAACAGCAATAAAACCAGCAAAGCTAAACGTTCAAGAAGAATGGATGCAAGCAACAATCCAATTGGGTATACGTGGAATACGGAAGGAATTTGTGAACAAAATAAAAAATTACACTCCTGAAAATGCTGCAACAGAAGCATGGCATTTGGAACAAAACTTCGACAAGAATAGGTTTTGCATTTCTTTAATAAACAGAAACTGATAGTACGAATTAAAATAACAAATCCATCGAGGTGATGTTATCATATAACATAAACCTTAGAATCCCACAATAAAGTAAATACTAGTTGACCAAAAGAAGTCATTAACACATTATATTACACTAAATTTCTGCGTCTAATGAGTTTATATTTTCTGGTTCGTATATTGCAGATTTGAAGATATCAAATTGGAGGATAAGACAAGAGTTAAGTTAAAAAAGACACCTAATAGTAAGTTTGCTATGAACTAAAGTTCAAAATTTTTCTTTGCATGATTTTAATTCAAGGCATTTTTAAAACGCAAAAAGAATTAGAAAAACAAATGAAGTATCTGTTTTACTAAATGTACTTCGAGCAAAATGAATGAGTGCAAAATTACTGTTGTAAAAGTATTTCATGCCTTATTACTCATTATGCGCAGAATAAAAAGTAGTAAAATACAATTGAATTTTTAGAAGGAGATAGAAATATCGAAATTTGTAACTTATGAGTTTGAAATTGCAATTCCAGATGAAGACTATATTCATGCATCTTATGTTACTGTATCAAGCGACCTGACATATATATGTGCTCAAGGACCGCTACTAAATACTATCCAGGATTTCTGGATAATGGCTATACAAGAAGAAACGAATGTTTTTTTTTATTCTTTTTGACGCTTCTCTTTTAGCTCTTTTGGCTCTCTTCTAGCTCAAAGGTATCAAATATTTCGTTCGGCTATTAAATTGTCATTACTCATTTAATTATAACTTTATATCCTGTTATATTCACATCTGCATTTAACCACCCACAAGCGTAGCTTTGAATCTGAAATTTAAAATGGAGTAAAAGAAAATGTTTCAGGTGATTCTCCAATTGTGTCAGCACAAAGAGAATGACCGTGAACAATGTTCCGAATATTTGCCGAATGAGACCACGGGGTGGAAAGAATATGGAGCCGTCCGAGTTCGTATCACGGAGCCAACTTCTGGTGTTGTTACGCTTAAGAAGGTGGCACGGACGAAAATCGAAGCCTCATATTCTGATAAAACGCAAGAGGTATGAGCTTTTCACATTACTCAGCTTATCAAAATTAAATTTTTCCGAAAGTTCTACGAAATCTTGTAAGCAAAAAAATCATTGCATGCAAACTCGTTGTAATTCCTTCTTCATGTAAATTTGTGCTTTTTGAATTTAATCACAAAATTTTCAATCATGAAAAAATTGAATCGAAGATTTAGAAACGAAAAATTTTCTTGTTTTATAGGGAACTATTGCGTATCAAGTATCGATTTCGTCCGCATTTTGTCACTGATGCTAATAGTAAAAAGTACACGAAACATGATGGTTTTATGCCAAAAGCTTTTTTATAAATTAATTTTTATAGCTAGTTCACATTGCTTACGCAGGATGGCCAGATCACTCCGTTCCTGATTCAACCTCCACATGTCGCGAAATTTACAGCATGTTGCACAAATATTACGGAAGAAAACCAATAATCGTTCATTGCAGCGCTGGCATTGGAAGGTTTTGCTGAATTTTTAAATCACATTATGAATGTTTCAAAAATTTTTAATATGCTATACAAAAAGCTAGGATGTCAACATTAATTAAAGGAAAGGCATAATATTTTAGGACGGGATCTTTTGTTGCCGTTGAGTTGGCGATGGCGAAACTGCGCAAAAATGAAACTTGCATTGTTGTGGATATAACCAGGAAGCTGCGAGAACAACGCTTGCATGCAATACAAAACGATTTGGTGAGCTAATCTTCTGCTGAACTTACGATAATTTATTTTATAAAACTAATGGTTGCTCATATAGCTTATTAAAGTCATTGCAACAATTATCGAGTGGCTTGCAGAATTTGTCAATTTTTACGAAACATGAAACTTCCGGATATAGGAAAATATGGCTGTGGCATTAATGGTTTTTTGAAACAGCATGTGGAATGTTTTCTATCTGTCATTTTGACTGATAGTTTGACGTATTTAGTCAATTTCCATATTTCACGCTCCAATACAGTAGACTTATGCACAGTCCAAGAACTTAAAAATTTTTTTTGAACCAATAATATCAGTTATAAACAATAATATCAGTTACAAACATAATATATGT